TGATCGTGTTACAAATAAAGTAGTTTGAGAGCAGGGAGACTGACTATCACGTCATTCGGAGTGCTTCGGGAAGGTGCTAAAGGGTCCTTTTGGTGTGATTTGCTTGTTTTGATTCTCTGATTGGCGGATATTTCTTTGCAGAATCATGGGTAATGTTGTTTTTCACCAGAAAAACTAAACACTTCATTTAATCTATCTGGTAATACAATTGTGATTATTAAAGAGGTCTATCAGATGATAAAACATGGGTCTCTATTAATGCACACAGTATCCTAAAGCATGTGTTGTCAACATTGTTCTAACTTGCGGTCTGATTGCTGATTTAATTACATAATACTAGAGCCAGGAGTGTGGTATGCAGTCCCCCCCCACTTGAGTTCCCTTTTCTTTTCCTTGAGTTTTTATTAAGCAAAGATCTGTTTGGATCAAATATAATAGAAACCATATCAAATTTCTTACCACACCTATTTCTGACTGGAGCGTCACAAGCAGCTGCTGTTGTCTAAAAGGACTGCATCCCTGGATTATTCTGTTACAGATAATCAACAGTCACATGGCTAGAAAGAAACTCTTTGGATGTCTAATCGGAAACTAGCAGTCTGAAATCTGTCTTTCATTTAATCTATACTCTGCCTGAATGTCATTTTGCTGTTTTCTCAGACGTCGTCATGTCTTACGTGGCCTTTTAGTGTTCAGTTAAGCAAGTGGAATGGAAAAGGAGAATAGTTTAGCTGGAATGCCTTCCCACACATTGCACAGACTACTCATATTAAAACTGCACAACATTCATTTAGGTAAAGCTGTCGTTTAGTTCCCCTGAGTGAGTCAAGTGCATTTTTATGACTGCACATGTTGTAACCTAAGATAACAGAGATTCTCTTCCACTTGGTTGTTAGGCCTGGTTGCAGAAGTGGACAGTAACTGTACTGAAGTGTTCATGCATATGTGAGTCACGTCAGATCCCCATCTCGCTAGTTATCCTGTCTGTTCAGAACTGCTCTGGTGTCGAACCAGTTCAGCAAGATGAATGGTCACTTCCTACGCACCCAAACTCACTATATTATCATAAACTTTGATGCTTAAAGTTCATCAATAAATTGAAAAAGAAATCCATATGAACCAAACAGTTGCTTGATATGATCAACAGGTGTTTATGCACATAATTGATCAATGCAAAAAATATAGAGCTCGTCAAATATGGTCAACGGAAGCTCAAACACTTGCTTGACATGCTTGATTCATATTGATAACTTTTGATGTGTTTATGAACTTTCTGAAGCGTCAAAGTTTTGGAAGAATGGACTTTCAGTAGAGGTTTTAAGGTAATGCACATACACATAACTTATAATATACATAACACATAATATAAAGGCTGTCAAATATTTATTGGTTCATGTTCATGAAAAAATTAGAGGCCTAAAAGCACACCTCTCATCACCTGTGGCTATAATGTGACGTATCCATAGCTCCACCCAGGCTGTTCAATTGTAATGGTGGGATTTGGAGGAGTATATTTTATTGACGTCTTCAGCAGACAAAGGCTCCAGTCATTTTGTCAATTACTATCCCTTCCTTAGTGCACTGTATTCAGGGCTTTTGTGTTCTGTAAATGCAACAAGTCCAAGCATCAGTGCATGTGATATACAGACATGCATTAACAGACATTACAATCGACTCTTTGTCTGCATGTATGCTTGGCTCATAACTTGTTGGGGGTCAAAGTTCAGTCCCAGAGACTGAGCAGGAACGCCCAATATACAGTGTGTTCACAGACTGGATAACCATTTGATCTCTTGTGTTCTCAAGACATGTTTAAACAAAGAGTTCTCCATATGATGTTCGATTTTACAGATTTCAATTCCTTGGAATATGGAAACGATTTAGTATTGTGGAATATATCAAAGTACCATGATATTACAGATGTAGTACATAAAGGTTTAAGAGTGAAAGATATAGAGAGTGTTGAAATGAGAGCGCATAACTGTACAGTGGAAATTTACAGGGATTACTGCGTCCCCTGAGTCATTCACTGCAGGGTACCATGCCAGTGTCTGTCCTCTGTGCTGTTCTCCGAGGTCATTCTTTCCCTCCGCAGCCCTCGCTTTCACTCAGTCTTGCCCTTTCTGTTTTTCTCTATGTGTCTGACTGACCAAACACTTGGCCTGTCTCATTTTGAGCTGTGTAATGCATTTCTCTGTCTGTGCAGACACTCGCTCTCAGCACTTATTGAATAAGCACCGCTAACTCTGAAACTGTAGCCACAGAAGACCGCTAACAGCAAATAATAGTAACTCAATGAAGGTATGGTTTAATCTAAAGATATATCAGCTAAAATGTTGATTAGTAAGGTCGGCTACTTCATCTAGGTTTTTTTATTTATTTATTTTCTTTTAGCAGTGGTGCATAACATTTGCTTAAAGGGGTCATATGACGTTGCTAAAAATAACATTATTTTGTGTATTTGGTGTAATGCAATGTGTTTATATGGTTTAAGGTTCAAAAAACACATTATTTTCCAGATACTGTACATTATTGTTTCTCCTCTATGCCCCGCCTTTCTGAAACGTGGTGATTTTTACAAAGCTCATTGTTCTGAAAAGCGAGGTGTGCTCTGATTGGCCAGCTATCCAGTCCGTTGTGATTGGCCGAATACCTCAAGCGTGTGACGGAAATGTTAAACCCCTTACCATATTGTGATGCCTTGTCCCAGCCGGAGCGACGAGACAAAAACATTAAAACCCATTATAAACGAGGCATTTGTTGCATCCAGTGGGGACATAAATACGGATTATAATGACTTGTATTGTCTTTTTGTGCGTTGCGTTGCGTATCGTGCCGCGTAAACATAAAACCATTTGTCTGTATTTGTGATCTGAGAAAGGACAAACAACAAGCTTTACACTGACTGCTCAAAACTTGCGTTAGGTTCAGGAAACAGTCCTTCGTTAAATGCGTTGCACACACACACACACACACACACAAATACTTGGTTTGAACTGTTCTGGAACAGTGTTGTAAATACAACTTAACCACTGATTTCTAGTTGTGTCCTCCTTTGGAAGACCAAACAAAGTAGTTTAGCTTTCAGAATGAAACACACAGCATCTCCACGACATGGCGGCGGCGGGCGGCGGCAACAACAATAAAGTTACGCCTTCTTTCTTTGCGTGAACATTTGGGTGGTGTTATGCAAATCTTCCCACACAGTGACATAGACATGCGTGGATGAGTCTTAACTTTTATAAAGAATATCTTTTTGGTTTTGAGACTTTAGTCTTTGCAACTTTAGGGATCTTATCTATTCACAAATAGCTTATAACACTCCAAAGAGAAAGGAAAACTTGAAATCGCATCATATGACCTCTTTAAACATTCCAATAACTTGACAAACTCAGTTGTCTTCCTTGTTCCATGTTATCAAATGGATTTTCCCTTTTTAACAACAAAAAAAATTCTGTTCATTTTCTCTGTAGGAGAATTGATTTTTAACAATAACTCATAAATAAACATTTAAAGACAAACCTACTCTGAACTACAAGGTTGTAAATTGGTGGTATTTGCTTTTGTTGAAGACATAAGCCTTTATTATTGTTTTGCAGTGGAATTCTTGAAGATAAACTACATTCCATATGATTCTGCGAAGAAATATCCAACAAACAATCAAATCACACAATAAGAACACTAGCGCTAACCAACTCCCATGAAGCACTGCGAACAATGTGTAGTCAGTCTCCCGACACACTCAAACTACTTAAATACACACACACACAAATATATATATATATATATATATATATATATATATATATACACACATACAGTGGATATAGAAAAGAATCACCCCCCTTTAAAATAATCACATTTTGTTGCTTTGTAGCCCGAAATGAAGACGGACACATTTGACTTTCAACTGTGATCAGCTGTGGTCATTTTGATTAGCTCAGCATGAAAAGAGCTTTCCTGGAGCATTTCAGTCCTTGGCAGTGTAACTGAAGCAAACAATCAACTATGGGCACCCATCAAAAAATCTCTGGGATAAAGTTGTGGACGGGCACAAGTCAGGAGATGGATACAAAAACGTTTCAAAGGCTTTATCAATGCCTAGAAGCACAGTGAAGTCTATTATTAAGAAGTGGAAGGTATTTGGTACACCGACCCTCCCTGGATCAGGATGACGCTCCAAACTGGATGAAAGAGTCAGGAGGAAACTGCAGAGAGACTACAAAGAGGCCTACAGCAACTCTGAAGCAGCTGCAGGAAATTATGACAAAGAGTGGTCATTGTGTGCATGTGACAACAATATCACAAATTCTCCACAAATGTGGCTTGTATGGGAGGGTTGCAAGAAAAAAGCACTTGTCAGCATAGAAGGAAAAATGGATGGGGAAAAATACAGTCAAATTCTTTTGCCAGAATGCCAGAAAGTTGTCAATGGGGAGGTTTACTTTTCAACATGATGATGACCCAAAGCACACAGCATTAGCCTAGTCAGAGCCCAGACCCCACTGAAAATCTGTGGAATGACTTGAAGACTACAGTCCACGATCAGTCACCATCAAACAACTTGAGCAGTTCTGTAAAGAAAAGTTGGCAAATATTGCAAAGTCTAGATGTGCTAGAGGTGGGTTCTATAACAACTGTATAAATAGCGCCGTTGCAATCATGAACCATGATTATCTACTTGCTATTGCTAGTCAGAAGCTGCGTCCAAAATCGTATATTAGGTACTTCTGCTAAATAAGTAATTATTTCACAACTGTTAAGTTCTGTATTGTATGAATGTAATCTGGACGTACTGCATCCGTCAAGTTGTCATTGTCATGTGGAGTATACTAGCATATAAAAGCCAACAGATATTAAAACAAAGCCCCAGAACTGTCAGGTGTTGTAGTGGGTCAAACTGTCTTTGATTTCAAACTATAAAATCCATCTAATCAGTCTATCAGTTTGTACCGTATAGAACTTTTTTTTTTGTATTGATTAATTTCTTCTCTCTTTAGATGGCTATGGTGATGGGAACTCTGTTAACCCAGAGTATATTGCCTTTTTTTTGGTGCTTTTCTTCTTCCTGCTGGGGCTTCTGGGTGTCCTTATCTGCCACATCCTGAAGAAGAAGGGGTACCGCTGTACAACTGAGGCAGAGGAAGATGCTGAGCTGGATAAAGAGGACGACGAAGAGGAGAAAGATCCAGAAAAAGGAGGTGAGAGTGTTTTGCTGACATTTGGATAACATTAGATTGCATATACTGACCATGTTTCTTGAAATGGCTGAAGAAGGTCAAACTTCCTCTCAGACAAATTGCACTTCATTATGCAATTCCTGTGAGTTTTATTATGGACAATACAATCAGTCGAAGGACCACTGAAGGTTACAAGTGGATGCGTCATCTCATTCCATGGTGTTTCAAGTGCTTGTGGGATGGTGGATTTAAGCTGACATTTATATTTTATTTATATTCAGGCCACTTGGAAGCAGTTTTGTTTTTCTTGTTTTGAGCCATTCTTTAGGAAGGTGAAGAAATGTCATGGAAAAGAAAGACTCCCAGAAATGTAGCCTCTCCTAACGTACTCGCTATCATGCTTGTCTTATTTTATCTCATTAAAGTTGCTCATCTTCTCGTTGTTTTGACACGCCTGTAATTGTATCTTGAGTATTCACATAATCAGTTTCAGTATCATCATTTATAGATTGGAGAACAGACAATACTTTATACTCCGCTGCTGAGTCGTGTTTCTTCATCATCCTTCCTATCACCGTCTTAGGGAGTTTTTGGGAGTTGGCTATAGCATTAGGCCCTGCCAAAGTCACTTCACGTATGCTAAAGAATACATTTACACTTATACCAGCTATAGGATGAGAAATTCAACTTGACACACCTTGTGGTTCAGAACTGGGCTGGCCACAGCAGTGCAAATTGTATTGTATTGTTCTCGGTGTTCACTTTGCTCACACATTACTGTTTGTAGTCGTTTTTGTCTTTGCGTCATTTAAAACCGTATATTTGTTTATGTGTACTGCTGCTATGGTTGTGTCTAGGGGGCATTTTAGCTCCAGGAAACTCCCGCATTCTCTTATCATCTTATCATGCTCAATTAGTATATAGGATCTACCTCATAATTTTTTCAATTGCAAGTCTATGTTAGTTTGCATGCTTTTCTAGGAATGTTCATGTGGCATTGTCTGAATTCTAGGAAACTTAAAAGTGTGTGTGCGTGCGTGTGTGTGGACTTGTTTAACCTGACACAACCCTCTCTCTTTCACTCTCTCTCCTCCTCTTTTTCTTTGTCTTCAAATCTTTGGATCCACCTAGTGCTGGGCAGTGTACCGGTTCATACTGAATACCGGTGTTTATTTTTGTTATGATATGAATTTTTTAAATACCGCAATACGGGTGTATGTCGCTTAAACAACGTTCGGAACGCGACACTGTTTGAAAGGGGTTCCTATTCACTTTTGCACTGTGGTGAGGGTACAGCTGTATGTGTTACTAAGCGTGAAAGTTCCGAAACTGAAGCTGTAGAACTAATAGAACGTGATGAGACAGAAGAACTCATCCACAATATCCACATTGACCGCCACAAATATCCACCGCCCCCTGCCATCAGCTTCCGTGTCTCACACACACACGAGCGCAACTTTAGCACTAGATTTAGCAACTTTCAGACCCTTTAGCGGCTTTTCTATGGCTTTTTTTCATAGAATATTCATACTGACAAACCTAGCGACTTTTTTAGATAAACCTTAGCTATGGTTCAGTTGGAAGATTTTGCCAGTGCTGTCCCACGAACGCGATGTCTGACTTTCCCGGAGAAGTGTCACCTCTCTCGGCGTCTGTTCTGTGCAGTGAGCGGCAGAGAAGCAGCG